CTGTCCTGTAGTTGCCTGCTTTCCAGGGGTTCCTCTTAGGTATCCGGGGACCTGTTGAATGCTTTATTTCAGGGAGTTTCTGGGTAGTTTTTGTGCTGCTCGAGCCTAGAGGGACTTGATTAGAAGGGTGCAACGGGTTTCTTGTTTAGTCTCCAGTGTGTGAGTGCTGCGCAGCCGGGGCTTCTGATAGTGAGCCCAGTAGAATAACCGTCGTCCCGCGCACTCCTCTGCCTAAGCATCGGTGGTTAATCTGATTAATTGCGGTGCGGATCAGATTGCAGCGGGTCTCGGACAGAGCCGCCTTCCTCCTCCAGCACCCCCCTCTCCTGGCAGCTCTCGCACAGCATGACCGAGAGCGCTGGTAATGACCCGCTGCTGTACTCGCCTCCGCCGTCTCTCTACTGCGGGCACGCACACACACCCCACGCTGACACGGACGTCTCTACACCCCTTGCGCGACCCCGCGCACCACGTCCACGAGCCCACACGCGCCGCAGCGGGTGCACGCGGCGCCGGAGCCTCGCCCCGCGCGGGGATCAATGCAGCTCCTTCCGCGCCGGCTTACGTTCTAGGGTCGGCGGTTCCGCGCAGGATGCTGCTCCGCCCACCCCACCACGCGAACCACAACGCACATCGCCTCCAGCCGGCAGTGCGACCACCCGCGCGGCCCGGGCCACCGCGTGGCCGCCGCCTCAGCCGGTCCTCCGCGGCGGGCATGCGCCTATCGGCGCTGCGCTCAGCAGCCTCGCGCCGCCGCCTCCGGACTGTTACTGCTCCAGCCCCAGCGCCGCGGGCGTGCCCGTCGGCCCCGGTACCCGAAGCCCCTGAGCGATCCTCGCGGGCGGACGCCACCGGCGTGGCCGGGAAGCATCGCAGAGTCCACTGGAGCGGGACGCGCGAAGGTCTGCGCGGCTGTTAGCCGTGAGCTGTCGGCAAACACCATACCCAGGGCACGGGCGTTTTTCACACTTATTCACGGCGGCGCCACACTACACTACCGGCATTACATACACTACATAAAATAACACATATAGAATATAAAGCCTTTAATTATATACCGCGGATCAATCCATATACACACCCCTATATAACCACATAAATCACGGTAAAAAATAAATCCATACCAAACCCTTTAATTAATAGGCCTACAATTTATACTACATCATAGATAATACTAAATATACAGCATTACAACAACATGTTACGAATAGAATTGATTTATGTTCACTGTTTAGAATACCTGTATGAAATGCGTGGATTTGTGATTATCAGGTCATACACATTATCTCATTAATTATTAGTGTATATTATATTAATTGGTTATTATTATTCTTATTATTATTATTATTATTATTTGTGCTGTTGGCTGTCACTCTTCAGTTCGGATGGCAACAACAGAAATATTATTTTTAAAGTGAAATAGTGAAGCACAAATTCTACATTTTATGTTTAATCCAAAAATAGAAATACAATCAGAAATGATATTTTAATTAATTCACTTTCTCCTGTTTTCCCAACATGCATCATCATTTCCTACAGAGAAAGAAGTGTTTTGGGGGGGCTGATGTTGTCCTGGTTTTCCTCCATTAATGAGACTGATGAGGTTTGTTGTGTGCTGCTTTCAGACCAGAACTCGGTGCTCCTGGACAAGGACGGGAAGAGGAAACACACCCGACCCACGTTTTCTGGGCAGCAGATCTTCGCGCTGGAAAAGACTTTTGAACAAACTAAATACCTGGCGGGGCCCGAGAGAGCGCGGCTGGCCTACTCTCTGGGGATGACCGAGAGCCAAGTCAAGGTAATTCAGAATCCGCCTGAAAAAGTCACAAAATAAGAAACAGAGAAATACATTAAAAACATCAGTTTGTCCTCTCCGGAGCAGAGACAGGCGGTTTCCCATCATGCAGCACGTTAAACACACTTTCACACGTTTGGAAAAAACACAATTGTTTTTACATTTCTGCATAAAATGCTGCTAATTTAATAAATAATCTCTGTTTGAGATTTAAGTTTGCTGTTTGTTTTTCAACGTAAATTGACGCAGTTTTTCTTTCTTTTGCACTAAAATAAGGTTTTAATGCAAAAGGCCTTTTATCAGTTAGACACGAGCTTCATGTTGCTCCCATAATGCATCATTCAGAGCATTTTAATCTGAAACTCACTGCAGAAACATCCGGTTTATTATAACTTCGATCTTTAATAATAATTATTGTAATTATAATTTATTTATTTCACTTCTTTATGTTTTATGTTTCAGGATGTAGAGAGGTATAATTACTGGGGGGGCAGGGGGGGGGGCTTTATTTAACGACCAACAATCATTAATATTTGGTGGGAAACCGTTAGATGAAGATCATTAAATGATTGTGGCACATTAGTAAAGTATCGATTAGAAATCAACAGGTCATTCATTCATTTATGTTATTTTACTTTTATTAATGAATATAAATGAAAGTGTTAAATGTGACGACCCCCCCGCTGCGCATTTTACTCTGAAATTCACTCCAGAAATATACATTGCATTATTATTATTATTATTGTTATTATTAGTTTGATCTTATATAATTATCATTATGTTTATTTTAATTATATTTATTTCTGGAGGATTAAATATTAAATGAAGGATTTTTATGTTTATTTTTCATCTTTTGTTCAGAACATTTTACTCTGAAATTCCCTCCAGAAATATAGGTTTCATTATTATTATTATTATTATTATTATTATCATTATTATTTCGATCTTAAAGCATTAAGAAGAATGTATTTGCTGCACCGGACCGTTTCCATCATTAAGGATTTGTACTATCAGAGGCTTTTTATGTGTTTGTTACTTTCAGCTGCAGAAAGTAATAATTAGTTCATTTTTATTCGGACTAATATTTCGGTCTATAACGGGTTTGTTTGCAGGCTGGGTTGGGGTTAGAATATTCGGTGTGTTTCTCCTCGTGCAGCAGATCTGACTGAAACACTCTGAATGTGTATAAAGTTTGATTATTAATATCAGATCGATAATCACTATCAGTGGATTATTAATACCAGATATCGATATCAGTCCGGTTGTATGAGAGCTGAAGCTGACTGTGTGTGCTCCGGGTCCAGGTCTGGTTCCAGAACCGGAGGACTAAGTGGAGGAAAAAGCACGCGGCGGAGATGGCGACGGCCAAGAAGAAGCAGGACTCAGAGACCGAGAGACTGAAGGGGACCTCGGACAACGAGGACGAGGACGACGACTACAACAAACCGCTGGACCCGAACTCGGACGACGAGAAGATCACACAGCTGCTGAACAAACACAAACCGGGATCGGGTCTGCTGCTGCACACGTCGGAGAACGACAGCTCCTAATACCCGACCCGGACCCCGGACCCCGGACCCGCTCCTGGTACCCGCTCCTGGACCAGAACTCTCCCGGGCACAGGCGGCCTTTTTCCCGCCACTCCGATTGTAAATAAGCCGTGAGTCGTTAAAGGTCCGCTGTGAATAATGGATGTGCTCTTTGTACAGATGAGCTGAGAACACTCTTTATTTCCCTTTTCTATCTCACTGTCACACACAGCAGGAGGACCCTGAACGCACCACACGCACCTGTACAGACACACAGATTTCACACACTTTTATTTATAAGATTCATCTGTGGCCGGCGCCTGCGCAGTTGTGTATCATGGCAGGTGAATGTAATGCACTTTTATTTAATAAAAAAACTCCAATGTTTGTTTGTTGTTTCCCGGAAATGGTCATTAATACAGATAAAGGCTAATTCTTCCAATCAATAATCAATAATCGATATTCAACCCTGCAGGAAGAGCTGTTATTATTATTATTATTATTATTATTATTATTATTATTATTAGAGGGTTTATTTGGTTTATTTTGGGGGGAAATTCAAACCCCCAAAATCTGAGGCGGTTTTTACCGGACAGAGAAACATCAGAGAGCAGCAGGGTGAACTGGTTCCATTGGACCCTCTGATTGTCCCAGCGAGGCCACCGTAGGTCGGTGCTCATGATGAACAGATGAGTGCAGCTGCGGGTCGATCAGAAAGAAGGAGTGATAGATGGAGGAAGAGGAGGAGGTCTCCGGGTGTTTGCTCCGCGGTGTTTGTGGCTCACGCAGCCGGCAGCAGGCAGCTCTCTCTCGGCTGCGGCTCCTCCTCCTGCCCGCTGTCTGGAGCTCCACTCCCGTCCAATAACGTTCACTTTGTTTTTATTTCCTCAAATAATATTAATAATAACGCTAAATTAATCCCTTTATTTCTCCTTTCTCCTCATTGAATAGGACAGTTTGGACATCATGAATGAATTAATGACAAATATATAAATACAAACTGTTTTATGAAAGAATATATATTTAGTTTCTTTGTGTAAAGTCGTGTATTTCCCTGTTGGAGCTTTCTAAAGAACAAAGTGATAAAAGTCCAACAACAAAAATATAAACAGACTTATTTCACACAGATAAATAATATATAATATAATATAACATTATATAATATAATATAATCACTGAATGTAATTGTGTTTATAGCTGGATACTTATGAACAAAACATAAAATCAGGAGAAGTTACAGGATGAAGCCGATAAAACAAAGTTCAGTTTTTATTCTTTTAATTATTGAATATTGAATATTTTTCCTTTAGATCAGATTCATTTGTCTCTATTTGTTCACACAAACACTCAGATAGAAAACAGCTGATTAAAACCTGTAATTCAATTAAGATTCAATAAATTAAACAATGAATTCTAATTAATCAGTCATTTAATTAAACCTCATTAAAGACTTTGTCCTCGACCTTCAAGCTGCAGTTGGTTCCAGTCCATCTTCAGCAGAATTAATGTTTCTTCATCATCTGACAACCCCCGAGGTTCATCCAGTGGCCCCTCACAGGGTCCCGCCCCTCAGCTTGGGAACCTCTGGCCTTATGAAGTGCTGACAAATAAACAAATATTCATATTTTAATTCGATTCAGAAACAGTTTAGTTTGATGTCGACAGAGAAGAAACAGAAAGCAGATCAATGAGTTCAGTTTAAATTCTTTTACTGTGAATTAAATCTGAAAATGAACTGAAATAAAAACTCTTTATTTTTAATATTTTACATTTCTGTGATTTAATTCGATGTTTCTGTGTTTTAATGCTTCTTATTTCAGTTTATATGCATCCAGATAATTCTGAATCCTCCCCAAGTTTAAAGATTTAATGTTCACATAAGAAACAAACAGTTAGCAGCAGGAACAATTATTGATTAATGATTATTGAAAATCGATTCATTATAAATAGTTTTTATTGTACGTCAGCTGTTTTATCAGGTAACGTCCTCGTTTGCTTTAGTGGAAGAAAACTGAGTAAATTAGTTTGTTTAAAGAAGATTCAGTTAAATTCTGTTCAAACATTTTAAATTTATTTACTAGATTTAAGTTCAATTAACTTAATTTAAGTTACCTTATCAATAAATACTTAGTTACTTGTACTTTAAATCAAATATCTTGTTTGACATACTGAATTTAAATGGTTTCAACTAACTAATCACATTATGGTGTAAAAATGATTTATTTTTTACCTTATTGCAGATTTTCACAGTAAAATGAATTTCTTTGGATTTTAGAACAAACAAACACTGTTTACTGTTTAACATTTTAAATTTGATTTATTTGGAGAAAAGAATGATCAAATTATTCCACAATAAAAATAACAGAAGAACTGTTTCTGATAAAGTTGATTATTTTATCAGATTTACAGGAATTAGAGAATTGTTTGGCTGAAGTTTCTCTCAGTGTCGATCTGTTGGACGATTGGTTATAGACGATTAATCAATAAGTGAAAATATGTTTATTTTAGTTTATTCGACGTGATGAGAAACATCAGCTCACATCCATCAAATCCTGATCATACGTATCAATACGTATCAATATAATAAATCAATCATCAACAAGAAACTGACTTCGTCCTCACTGATTTTATCAATCAGTTATTGATTATATTATATATAACACAATCAATAGGAGAAGTTTACTACTGAACTCCATTTTCTGCTTCTTTACATTCATTTAATAACTTTAGTGACTTTGCAGATTCAGATAATTAATAAATAATGTAATCAACTAATAAATGAATTAGTGATATTATTAGATATTACTGTATTGATCCTCAAGCTAGCAGCAGCATAAAGTCATTAAACATACAAACATTCATTATAATCCAATAATATCAAACAGATTCTTTTACTTTAATATATTTTGACACTTTTTTACTTATACAGAACTTTTACTTTTAGTATTTCTATGTTTTATTTATCATTTATTCAGATCGATTATGTTCACACATTTTTGATAAGTTTGGAGAAATTATGAATATAATGTAAACTAAATTAACTGAATGAAATTGGTGCAATTAAGTTAATTTAGTTACTTTAACAATAAATGGGGGGGGGGGGTCTCTGCTACACATATGACAAATGACAAATATTTATTATTATTTCCGTATATTGTTGCATTGACTGCTTTTTTACCATAAATGATGCATGATGGGAGTTCAGTGCACCAACTTCTATATGATACCAACAGAACAGAATTCTCTCTCATGGAAAACATCATTTATTAAACTCATTTAATATACATTAATCTTAAATCCACATATATTGATTTAAATGAATAGTGCCTAATGTGAAGTATCTGATATTATGGATATGGGGCCAGTAATTGAATCCTCGGGGGGGCCATGGCCCTTCCTGGTGGCGCCCCTGGGTTGAGGACCACAAGTTGCTTCAGACTAACAGAATTAATTAACGGACACGTATCGAACTGACAGCACGAACAGTGAAAACATCAACTGTAATTTATGAGTTAGCAAAATGGCCGACGCTGACAGCTAAGCTAACTAGCCTCCACTGGTTTCACAGCCGAGATCAGCTGGAACCGCTTTATCCCCCAGACTGTGTGTGTGTGTGAGTGT